ATTTTTCTAATACTACAGTTGTGCGGAAGAAATTTTTTATAACTTTCAATGCTTAACCTTTTACTATAATACAATTTAGATGGCTGATTGATGTTCGTGAATAACATAATGGGTATAACATTCTTCAAATTAAAATGATTTTGTGGTTTGAGATTTACAAACATTTGTTCTCATTTATAAACTCCATTATTATACAATCGTCGTTGATGGGCAAACTATATGATCGCTTGCATTGATTTAGATTATCGAAAAAATTAATTTATCTCCTTGCATTGATATGACTCTCTTCTCCCAAATTAATTTTTAAATAATATGATTTTCCTTTACCCGGTTCAATTAAAAAACAAAAAAATTGTGATCCTATAATTATTGTTCATTGTATTAATTAAAAAATAAGATTACCAACCTTATGATTCAAAGTATGCGATTCTTCTACCCTCCATCGCCACATTAATTTAAATTAGTGAAATAAATGTTATTCGTCTCTATTGTGTTAACTAGTATCACACCCGTGCGTTGCACGAGTCATTTTTATGTTATTAAATTCAAATCATTTTTCAATGATAAAGATGAGATGCAATAGAATATAGAGATTATGTTATTATAAGGTAAAAAACATCAATGCTTTACAATTTTCAAAAGACTTCTTTATAGACTACATTATTTGTACAATTTGTGAGAATATTGTCTTCATTGCATATCAGAATATTCAACCCACTACGATTAGTTACTCTTGAAACTATAACATAGAGTTGTCCATGACTAAATACAGGTTTCTGTAACAATAGTCCAACATGTTTCAGAGATTGTCCCTGCTCTTGTTCATCGTCATTGCATACGAAGTAACCACAAGGAATTGTCTTCTTTGAAACTTGAAAGAAATTCTTGTATCGGACAGTGTTAATGATACTCTTGGAATAACGACTTCTTCACCGATGTGGCTTCTTGATAATATTTTTCCTTGTATTGAGTGATTAGCCAACTCGGTTACTATCAACCGTGTACCATTACATAAACCCATTAAATGGTCAATATTTCTCAACAACATAATAGGCGTGCCTACCTTCAGAGTTAACTCATGATTCGTTACACCAGAAGCATGAATCTTTTTTAAGAATTCGAGAGAGTGTAGGTCACACAAAAAACTTGAACTGCATCCAAGTTCTCAACTTTGTCAGAACTAAGTTATGTTCAAGACTCGCTGCTTGGATTCATTGATGTCATATATTTATTTATGGAATCGACGACATCCAATGTAGGAGCCAAAATTGTGCGCTCCTGCAAGTAGCTTAGTTCATTGGCCGTTTTTTGAAAGTCTGGATTAGTTGAATCCACTATAGTGGCTATTGGATCTTCAGAAGATGGAAGTAACATGTCATCAGGTATTATCACCTCAACATAGCCGTATTGTTCATCACCTGCGTTCCCCTTGCCTATACTCGCAATCCAATTGCTGAATTCAAACAATTGATCATAACTACTATCACGAATCATTGATTGCAGTCGCATGTTTTTTGTCAAACGCAACACTCTGCAGTCTTCCCAAATGTATGAAGAATTAATCGTTGAGTTAACGATGTCTTGTCTCGTTCCTTTTGGAATAATTGACAAAATTTGATGAAAATCTCCGCCAAAGACAATTGTTTTTCCTTCGAAAGTTTGTTGTTCACTCATTGGATTTGAAAAGCATAGAATATCACGCATACTTCTATCTAAAGATTCAAAGCAATACTTTTTTGTCATAGGGGCTTCATCCCAAATAATTAATTTGGCTTTCACCAAGAGTTGTGCTAGTGGAGAGCCTTGCTTTATTTATGTTGCAAGTAGAGTTTTCATCTAGAATCAATGAGATTTTAAAATGCGAGGGAGCCATTCTACCACGTGGAAACAATAACGATGTTATTCCACTTGACGCAACATTCAGTACTATATCACCTCGACATCGTATTGCAATTGATAATGTTCTCCAGACATATGTCTTGTCGGTTCCTCCATATCCGTACAAAAAGAAAATTTTGCCAGCATTTGTTTGAACGTATTGCATTATTGCTTCATACGCTGCACGTTGTTCATCATTCAGTGAACGCAATAGTCTGGGAATTGTTGTTGCTAAATAAAAGGTTGTAGGTAATCCGTCGGAGAGCGAGTCAAGTAGATGCCGTGGGTGGCGGTGCCACTAAGATAACGGAGAACCCTCTTCATGGTCGTAAGATGAGCGTCACGCGGTGCGTGGAGATGGAGGCAAAGCTGCTGAACTGCATAAGTGATATCAGGTCGAGTGAATGTGAGATACTGTAAGGCACCGACAATGGACCTGTAGAGAGAAGGATCTGGTAGTGCCGTGCCAGAAGAGGAGGAGAGCTTTGCCTTTGTGTCCACTGGAGTGGAGATAGGGCGGCAGGACACCATCCCGGCGCGCTCAAGTATGTCGTGGGTGAACTGTGTCTGATGGAGAAAGAGACCCGTGGTTGTGCGATGAACATTGATGCCGAGGAAGAAGTGTAAATCACTCATGTCTGTCATGGCAAACTCAGCCTTGAGTTTCTGAATAAGGCTCTGAAGAAGTGTCGACGAGGAGGCAGTGAGAACGATGTCATCAACATATAAGAGAAGATAGGCGCTGCCCGTAGGATGTGAGAAGACAAAGAGAGATGTGTCAGATTTGCAACCATGAAATCCAATGGTCTGAATGAACCCTGCAAACCTGTGGTACCATGAGCGAGGCGCCTGTTTCAGGCCATATAGAGCTTTCTTCAGCTTACAGACATGGTGAGGGCGACTGGCATCCTGGAATCCTGAAGGCTGGCTGGCATACACAGTTTCCTGAAGCTGGCCATGGAGGAAAGCATTCTTGACATCCAGCTGATGAATAGGCCATCCCCGAGACAACGCAAGGCTAAGAACGACGCGGACAGTGGCAGGCTTGATGACGGGGCTGAAGGTTTCGCCGTAGTCGATGCCAAAACGCTGATTGAAGCCACGAACAACCCAACGGGCCTTATACCTGGAAAGCTCACCGGATGGGCCAAATTTGTGTCGAAAAAGCCATTTACCGGTGATTATATTCTGGTTGGGGGAGGGGGGTACTAATTCCCATGTATCATTCTTGATCAATGCATTATATTCATCACACATAGCAGCATGCCAGTTTGGATCTTTAAGGGCACTACGGTAAGTTGGGGGTAAGGGGGAGATGGGTGCAGAGATATTGAGGTTGAGGATTTGTTTTGGACAGAAGACACCCGCTTTGGAGCGGGTTTGCATGGGATGGATGTTTGGTGGGG